TTAATGCTAAGTGACTTTTTAAAATGTTACGCTTTAAGCTAAGGAGATGTGGTGAAACATGGTGAAATTGTTATAATAATAATTCATTTTTTAATGATTTAGTGTGATAATAGATTTGATTATAGCAATGTTATTTTAGTATTATTAAGATATTGTTTTAGTCCTTATTAATATTTTGAATATTTTTATATTTTCCATTTTCAATTAATTTTAAAGTTTTCAAAATATGTCTACTCTTGTCATTTTATTTTCAGAAAAACTGAGTCCTGGTGTCCTCTACAGAGGACATAGCATAACTTATGAATAAAATATAATTTTTCAAAAATGTTGTTTTACCATTTTTTTCTTATGCTCTAAACAATGTAATGACATGAAAAAATACTAAATTCACAAAGCTCTTTATTTCTGGTTCTCAGGAGGATATATTTATATATATATTTCTTGAATCGGTTGTTCTATATGTTATTTGTTATTTTCAGTTAACGGTTATTTTATTTTTACTGTTTTTGTTTTAGTTAACAATAATAACCCTGGATTAAAGTGAGTAAATGCTTCACAGGATGTGTGTTTATTATAGAAATTGTACAGTAAAAAGTCTTGCTTTATTTGTGTTTCAAGGTGCTCTCTTGTTTTTGTTCTATTCTAATTTTTAATTTTTGGTTTAGTCCCTACTCATCACACTGTAACTAATGTAAAGGTTGAATAAATACATTAGAATGAATAATGCAAGAACAACAGAGCACAAGGTCTCAACTGTAACAGGGACTCTCTCTCTCTCTCTCTCTCTCTCTCTCTCGCTCTCTCTCTTTCTCGCCCCATGTTTGTCATTGACTTGAGCCATCTGTGAGGATCGTTACTGCTCGTTGTTGATTGGCTGGGAGAGGACTGTTAGTTCTAAGGTCATATTTTGTCGTGGGAAATGCAAGTAAATGAGGATGGCGAGGAGGAAGCTTACTGCCCCCATCTCCATATGCCCCCCAATCCTCTCTTGTGTGCATGTTGTGCACTACCACGCAAACACAGTCCCAGATGAATATCACAATATTCTGTGGTTTCCTGAGCCTGTTTCTGCCTCTCCGCCTGATCTGAAGGCCACTGTTGTTCTTCCTCGTAAATGTAACAGTTTCCACACAGTGTGTTCAGAAACTGCCAGAAAGTGTTCAGTTTCAGGGCCTCGTGGCCTGGCATAAAACAGTCACTAAGAGCTGCACTTCACAGATGCAGGCTCGGCTAATGTTTGCATGACATAGATGTGGGAAACCCGAGAGCTAATGTTCCAGCATGAGCTCTGCATTTCTGCATGTATTAAGGTATATTTGTGTATTTTGTCCATTTTATGTCCATTTGTGTGTGTGTGTGTGTGTGAGTTTCTGGCCTAGATACAGTTTTGGGTGACAAAATGTCTAAAAGTGCCCATGAAAAAACTTTTTTTTTTTGTATCTTCAGAAGGTGAAATGTTTGTAGAGATTAAATAATGTCTTTATTCAGTTCTAAAATTTTAAAATAAAAAGCTTTTAAAATAAAGCTCTAAAATAAAAGCTTAATTTTAAGGTTAGTGTAAATTATAGCTTATATTATTAATAAAATAGTTTATAATTTATGTTATGAAATTATTTTTACATTTATATAAAATTTATGTTAAATAATATTTTTACTTAAATGCATTTACGTATTACTTATTTGAGAGCTAATGTTCTTTATTCACTTCTAAAAATCTTCAGATTTATTTTAGAGTTATGAATAGATTAGCGATAACAACAGTGCACAAAAAATAAGATTTACTTACTTTTTACTTAAATTTATTTGCGTACGTATGTTGTATTTAGTTTGATAGTTTTGTAATTTTTTGCACTTCTTTGGGAAGTCTGTAGCTTAATTTAAAAATATTACACTGAAAAGTGAAATTTACTTAACTATTTTTACTATTTACTACTATTTTTTTATTTTTATTTTTTACTATTTTTACTTTTACTATTTATATAATTATTTTTTAACAAGAATACACTGAAAAGTGAGATTTTCTTAAAGATTTTAATTATGTTCTTAAAATTATTTATAATGTATTTAAAGTGTGTCTCATTTAGTTTAAAATGACTTTTTATGCTATTTGTTTATACAGTACTAATAATTTACTAAACGTCAACAAAATAACACTGGTGTAAATAAAACTGGTAAGCAATGAAAAGACACAACCTCATTAATTATTCATGTCCTAGTGCATGCTGGGAACACCAACATCGTAAAGCTAAGTGTATTTTACTTGATTTTATACCTTATATAAATATATACTGATATAATATACTGATATTTGTCAATAAATATTAGCAGGGTTTTCTTTGGGATCAATACGGTACTTGAGGATTGTAAATATAACAAACAAATTTACCTGAATTAGAGCTTGTATTTCAACATGCAGAATGTAGAATTAGTGCAATATTTCCAATGTGTGTTCGTGAGTGTGTACAGACACAGGCTGTTGTTCTCACAGTACAGTAATGATGGGTTTGCCAGCAGCCCCAGCTGCCTCTTACCTGGCAACTCTTGAGGGAGAAAAACAACTAGAACTTCCCCTCTTCATCTCTCTCTCTTTCTCTCTCTCCTCCTAACATACTCACTCACTCACTCACTCACTTGTTTCCACTTTATTTGTGCACATTTCTCTCACTTTGTCTTCTTCTGTCTTCTCTCCATCCCTCGAGTCTTTTTTCCTTTGTTTTCTTCCAACCCTTTCCCCCTTTGCTCATCTTTCAGCGCTGTTTTCTGTCTGCATCTCTCTCTTTCACCTCCCGTCATGAGATTTACAATTACTCTGCCGTTTCCTCTCTTTGTCCTGCTCTCTATAGACAACCTGGGTTTTTTTTTCTGTCGTTTTATCCAGATTTCATGAACTGCATCTGTAGTTCTTTGGGTCAATCTTTTCTCTCTTTGTCTGTGTTTACTCTATACTTTTATCTGTCTCTCTCTTTGTTTTCTGTTCTCTCCTTATACAGTCATGTGAAGTGTGTGCGTGTGTGTGTGTGCATGTGTGTGTGTGTGTGTGTGTGGTAGGTTTCAATGTAATACCCCAGGGAGCTCCAGTAGAGGTTGCCATAATACCAGCTCTGGCTTCCTCTGTATCACCTCCACACCTCTCTGTCTGTCTCTGAACACTGTGTGTATGAAAGAGAGCGATCCTCCTCTTCAGTCTGATCATACTGGCTCAAGTCTAAATGTATCTATATACTAGCCTTGTCATTATAAACATTTATGACTTTCTTTCTTCCGTGGGGCACAAAAAGAGATGTTTCACAGAATGTTTGAGCTGCTCTCTTCTTTTCAGTAAAAGTAGATGGTGACCAGAGTCTCTTAAGCTTCAAAAGCAGAAAAACACAAAGCATCATGGTCCATATGTGCTATATTAAAAATTGTTCAGACAATTGTTCCTTTGTAAAAGAAACACTTTGTAAATAAACTCAATATTCACAGAAAAACCTTGCATTAATAGCTGTGGTCACTTTTAATTTCAAATTGTCTTTTTCTTTTCTTTTGATTGAATTAGTGTCAGCAGGGTTATTTTTAATGATTAAATTGATCAAAAGTGACAGACGTCTTTTGCTACAATATAGATGTCTTTATTATAAATTAAAATAATTCTGTTATTTAAAAATTTCTATACATCAAAAAATTCCTGAAAAAAAAATGTTTTCACAAATATATTAAGCAGCACAACTTTGATTAAAAAAATAAGTGTTTTCTGAGCAACAAATCAGCATATTAGAATGATTTCTGAAGGACCATGTGACACTGAAGACTGGAATAATGATGCTGAAAATTTTGCTTCGTCGTCATAGGAATAAATAGCATTTTAAAATACATTTTATTAGATAACTTTATTTTAAATTGGAATAAAAATTCACACGTTACTGTTTATACTGTATGTTATATAAAAATAAATGCAGCCTCTGTGAACAAGAGATTTTTTTCAAAATCCAAACCTTTTTAATAGTGTATTTCTGAGCAACAATTTTTTTTTCCTGCGAGACAACATATAGTATTAAAGATCCCATGATTAGGAATATATATATACATATATATATTCATTATTTCTTTGCAATAATGTGTACTGATGAGATCATAAAAACATTGAGTAGAAATTACAGAAATTATTGTAAAAAGTGTAAATAGATAGAAACAAAGTATTGGACAAGAGTGATAATTTGATGCTTCCGCCTATGAAGTGGAAAGGAAATGTCCTGGAGGTGAAGACTGGAGATAAAATTAAAAAAAAAAATTACTTTAATTCAGTGCAGATGTAGCAGATGGAAAATGATTATGCATAAGAAGCCGTTGTAAGATGCTCTTGTCCTGTCTTGGTTTTGGTAATCTTAGTGAGACCAGAGTGAGTCTGTGGGCCGAGGAGATGTGTGACTTACACAGGAACACTATAACACGCACAAACACACACAGTCACACACGCCGTGTGAAGAATGACAGTGGAGCATATGTGTACAGTCTGAAAGGATCGCAGCCCTGGATCACTGCTTGTGTGGTTTGGCACAGGTTGAGTGTGTGTTCTTCGGCATCATAATAAAATCTGTAAGGACAAACACGCATAACAGGATAGTTGTGTGTGTGTGTGTGTGTGTGTGTGTGTGTGTGTGTGTGTGTGTGTGTGTGTGTGTGTGTGTGACAGGTTGGTGTAAATGAGATTCCAACAGCTTCTTTTTCTGTCCGCCTCATCACATGTTTGGTTTCTCTTTTTTGAACACAACTTGCTTATGTATAGTAAATAACTGGTTAAATTTAAAATATAAAGATTATTTATTTATTTATTATAATTATACTTTTTCACGGTACTCCACTTATGGTGCTGTTTATAGATTTACTGTGCTGTTTATGGATGCAAACCATGTTGATTTACAGTACCAGAGCTGGAGTGTTGGACTAAACTGTGTGTGTGTGTGTGTGTGTGTGTGTGTGTGTGTGTGTGTGTGTGTGTGTGTGTGTGTGTGTTTTATTAGGAGGTTCTTCTGAAAAGAGCTGCAGACCTGGTGGAGGCACTGTATGGGATGCCTCATAACAATCAGGTATGAAAATCACTATATATATATAGGTACACACACAGTAAATAATATATTTAAATATTTTGCAATTATTATAATGTAAATAAAATGATAATAATGTAACATAATAAGAACATGATATTTATTTAACAACTTATAATTTGAAATAATTTTATATTTATATAATGTAAATAAAATAATTGTATAATTATTATAATTTAAATAATATAATAATGATCAAAAATTATCCTTAAATTACTTACGATGTTAAAATATTCTTGCATTAATGAGTAATAATTAATTATATTAATAATAAAATGTATTTCAGGGCATTATTCTTTTCTTTCATGTAATGTAATATCTTGAATCAGAACTCAATGAGAAGCACTGTGTATCATTTTAACACTGTGTGTTCTCTGGATTGTCCAGGAGATCATTTTAAAGCGTGCTGCAGACCTGACGGAGGCACTGTACAGTGTGCCGCGGAGCCATAACCAGTTGCCCTCGCTGACAGGCTCCGGCGCTCACTCGGGCATGATGGGAGTTAACTCTTTCAGCAGCCAGCTCGCCGTCAACATCTCTGAGGCCTCACAGGGAGACCAAGGTCTGTGTGTGCTGTGAATCCCAAATCACACATTCAAACACATGCATGAACGGCTGTCAAGCAATTAAAAAATTTATTGCATATATCAATAATTGGAAGTCAGTGTATTGTTTGTTTTATATCACCGAACATGGAGCCTGTAACTGCAAACAATTTTGCAATCAAGAATCGAATTAAAAGCGGTACTTCATTTACATACAGATCAAGGGGCACGATTAATTGTGTTAATATTTTTATCACATTATTTTCTTTCTAACTAATCACACTAATGTGTTGCGTTGACAGCCATACAAAGTGTTTGACCGGGTTTGATTGAGACATGACTTCACAAAACTCAAAGCTACTCAACAACCTCAACACTTAAATTCAGTCACACGGTCTGTCAGTCCTTGTCTGGATCTGTTCATCGTCGTTTGTGAGCTTCACACCCACCCGCAGCCCTGGCCCAGCAGCACTGTACATGACGATCGCATGGCTGTGTTTTGGCAGGCCTGTCACCCACAGCGCTCAAAACTGCCACTCACACTCACCTGACCATAGAAACGACACATTCATCAGAGTGTGTCTGTGTGTGTACACACTCCCTGTCACTCCTGAGAGAAGTGTGAGCGGCACAGGCTGTGAACGAGCTGAGAGACTCAGGATGACAGCGCTACAAGAATGAAACATGTTATTTGCAAATGCAAACGCAGTTTATGAGCACAGCATGCAAACATTGTAATATTAAAATTTGTTTGATGATCTGAATCTTTTAAGTGTGACAAAAATGCAAACAATTAAAAAAACAGGAAGGGGGCAAAAACCTTTTCACACCACTGTACGTAATAGGTTACAACTCCTACTAAAATTATTAAACCTTATTTTTAAGGAATAATCATACAATATTTCTTCAATGTTTTAATTGTAATATTAAATCCCCTTTATTTTAAAAATAAAATGCGTTTAATTTTCATTAATTAAAAGATAAATTAAATGAATGTTTTATGCCTTAAAAAATGTAAATAGACAACACAGGATTTCTGAGGAAAAAAATCATAAGGCTATTGTAAATAAAAAATAAAAAAATTAAACTAGTTTTTATGCTTTGAAATAATTAGACATGCTAAAACACAGAATTTGGTAGCAATAAAACATAAGGTTGGAAAAAATAAAACAATTCATAGGGCCCTAAACATGTAATTTGTTTTACATAATTTGTTAAAACTTTTAATAAATTGATGTTAAATTGTATAAGTTTCATGATTTTAATTAATTAGGCATGCTTTTTGATTAGTAACATTTAATTTAACAATTAAAAAGGAGTCCAGAAAAATTAAAACGGGGGAAAAAACTGAATAAAAGCCGTAAACCTAGGGGAAACACTGCTTTGGATTTGCATGTGTGTATCGCATGCCCTGTATGTGAGCATTTCCATGCACAAGTGTGTTTTCAATATCACAGTGTCGGGCCATGTTTCTCTTCACCCACCAGCTCTGACACTCACAGACAGGAAGTGGGAATGGATGTGAGATGAACAGATCACTCTCCTTATATCAGAGAGAGAGAGAGAGACAGGAAGACAGAGAAACTCTCTCTCCCTTGACACCCTCTGCTTTCTCTCCTGCTAGCACTCATCCCGTTTTCCTCTCGTCTGTTTTCCTCATTCACGCAGGAAAGGAACACCTACAGGAATCCATGAGGTCATGGGAAAGGGCCGTTAGCCATTATAAAAATATTGCATTTCATACTTCATGCTTGTATGCAGTGAAACTTCAGCAGGATTTAATTTGATAAGCCTGCTTCTCCATTCGTTCATCCATCAAACTAATTATTGTTTCAAGTTCTAATTAAGTTGCAAACTGATTTACAGAAAACACTACCTCTTTCCTGCAGCTTATCAAACCACATAGGAGCACAGTTTATTTAGGGAAGGTCTCAGATTAACCAGCATCGACTCTGCTGACGAGTGATATTTGCAGCTTATAATGGCAGTCATGTTGTCGCTCACGTGACTCTGACATGTTTAAAAAGATGTTTTTATTGTCAGTTAGCAAAAATATATATTTTTTTCATAATCTGAATTTCTTAGTAAAACATATTTAAAACAAGATTCAATTGCTTTTTTTTTAACTAGTGAGCTTTATAACTAAACTTTTTTATCACTTTTTTTAACTAAAGACCTTTGCATTGTTACAAAAATATTATATTGCAATAATTGCTGATCTTTTGGAGTTTCTATTGATAAATGGTCATGAAAAAAAATCAGCTTTGCCATCACAGGAATAAATTACATACAAAACATTATTTTAAAATTATTTTGAATTGTATTAATATTTCATAATATTACTGTTTTTACAGTATTTTTAATCAAATAAATACATAGAAAATATTTTTAAAAAAATTGACCCCAAACTTCTGAATGGTGTGTGTGTGTGTGTGTGTGTGTACCTACTTAACCATATTTTGGGGACAAATGTGTACCCAAAAGTAAGCAAAACCTGACAAAATCACCAAAAACCTCCATTTGGGGATGTCCTAATTTGTAAAACTGGTATAAAAATAAAGTAAACAAAGTTTTCTGTGAGAGGTAGGGTTAGGGATAGAGGTGGGTTTAGGTTAAAAAGTATATAACTATATGTATATAAAAACAATAGAAGTCTATGTAATGTCCCCATTTAGATAGCTAAGTAAATGTGTGTGTGTGTGTGTGTGTGTGTGTGAATTTAGAAATTTAGATTAATGCTTAAATGAATTTTTGCAGTGCACTTTTTAAAATATATTTATTTATTGCTTAAATTAATATTTCCTCTTCTTCCTCTTACTCTCTCTCCCTTTCTTTCTCAACTGTTCGATATGAGAATTAAGCTTAAGGCCCAGACAGTGGACATAGATGGATGCCAAGTGGTATTCAAAGTTCTCTCTCTTCACTTCCTGTTTAGTTTTGGCTGACTGTGAATTGTACAGGAGGAAAAAAGAAAACGAAAAACAAGAATATGATGTTTCCTTAAGAAATGTCTGTTCAAAACTTACCACCGTGCAAGTATGTTGTGATGACTAACAGGCCATTGTTATGCAGGGTTATTGCTGGGGTTTTTTTGCTGGTTGCTAGGGTTGTTTCTTACTGGCTTAAGTCAACTCGCAAGTCTCTGTGATATCCAGGTTTCTCAGTATGGCTCCGGTCCTTATTGTCTGCCAGGCGAAAAGAGTCCAAAACACCCAATACACACACACACACACACTGCTTATGGGAACACAGACAAAGTTTTGTTTGACTGCTGTACTGAGTGCTTTCTTAACAGCATCCGGACATCTTTAAAATGTTCTCACACTTACCGAGGGATCCCACCCACTAGAAACACAAACCCAGCATGTCACAGAAACACATTAGTCCAACCGCAACATCTACAAATCACATCAAGCGTCTTAATAAGCAAACTCATAATAAATCCCAGTGCTGACATGGTTTATATTTGAACTTCAATCTACAAGAGCGTCCTCCTTAACCTGTCGCCATCTCTTACATTCCAGGTTACTCTCGTAACTCGAACAGCGTGTCTCCACGCGGGTACGTGCCGAGCTCCACACCCCAGCAGTCCAACTACAACACCATCACCTCCAGCATGAATGGATACGGAGCCGCAGGGATGACCAACCTGGGTGTCCCTGGATCCCCGAGTTTCCTCAATGGATCCGCCGCCAACTCTCCTTATGCAAGTGAGTGTTCTGTTGATCAGCTAACAGATCCTGACATTTCTGCTGAAAAGACCAGCATATTGGCCTTCTTGACTAAAAATACTTTTTACTTTCAGCTAGTCTCAAGCCTTTACTAGCTAAGGGAGTTTTTACAGAAACGCCATATAATGGTCTTTTAAGAACTGTTCACTGAAAGGTTCTTTGGGGAACCAGAATTGGTTCCTCTGTACTCTTAGAAATAAAGGTTATTCATTGGCAATGGTTCCATGAAGTACCTTTAACATCCATGGAAACTTGCACTTTATAGTGCTCTTTGTAGTGCAAATGTTCTTTATAATAAATGTTCTTCACACTAAGAAAAACATGGTTCTTTTAAGAACTGTTCACTGAAAGGTCCTTTAGGGAACCAAAAATGGTTCTTCTATGGCATCACTGTGAAAACCCCCTATTGGAACCAAATTTTTTAAGAGTGTAGAACTACTATTTTGGGTTGAACAGTTATTTTCTTAGTGTGAAGAACATTTTAATAATCTGAAGAACATTTTCCCACTATAAAGAACCTTTTCATGTAACCATTGATGCCAGTGAAGAACCTATATTTTAAAGAGTGTAGACCGATTCACCAGCTACAATCCAGCCTGGAAATGTTAGATAAGACATGCTAGTCATTTCAGCAGGGTAGTTAACTGTTCACTGCATGTTTTGGATTCTGATTTGTTGAATTTAACCAGCTAAATTCGACTATTGTGAGTCTAAAAAGCTTGCATTTTGTGATTTTGGTGATCACAACAGGCATATTTGGTCGCAACTCAGTCAGCGTCTTAATGCTAATCTGAAATACTAAGGTTGTTTGTTTGTCTATTCGTGTTCTTTGAGGGAAAGGTTATTGTCTGTCTGCTGTTCCATGCACTGTGAACGTCTCCATCCGAACTAACTCCACAAACACTCATATTTTTTCATCTCCTTTCATGTCTAACACTTTAACGACTCCTCCATGCATCTCACTCCGTCGCACACTCGCTTTCTCCCTGCGGTCAGGATAGTGAGCTTTCTGTCTGCAGTTTCCTGTAGATATGTCTGCTGCTACTGTTAAAATCACAATGCTGGAGGCCTGACAATTACAAATGAGGTTTACAGTATATACTCAAGAATGTTCATATATTCGATATATAGCAGCTGTATTTTGTGTGATTGCCACTTGTTTGACAGGCCAAGCTTTGTGCAAAGCTGTTTCATGCCAGGTTTGCTTTCCATTCATTCTAAAAATGGGAAACAAGTTGGCAAGAGTTTTCAATTGGAATTTCATTGAAGAAAATTCATTGTGGGTTTTGCTCCAATTTGGTGAGAAAGCTCAAGCTTTCTTCTCAAGATTCAGTGCCAAGATTGTTGGCTAGCGTACGGTGGTTTTTATTACCTGTCTTTCTCTCAAAGCATGCAGATGACCGCATATTAGATGTCCTGATAATATCCTCTTCTGGCATGTTTTACGTATATGTGTGTCAATACAAAAGCGGTTTTCATGTTCATGCTTCTGCAAAAGTGTGATTTGGCAGTCAAAGGTGGACTATATTGACATAAATCCTCCTCAAGAGTTCTAAGTTATGGATCAACTTTGCCACACGGTTTCATTCCCATAATGCCTCACTCTGCCATAGCCCTTCCCCTTCAATTAACCTTCTAACAATCGGCATGACCCACCTCATAACTCTCATCTTTGTGTGTGTGCGGGTGTGTGTGTGTTTCTCTGTGTGTGTGTGTCTGTTTCAGTCACCCCCTCCAGTCCTCTATTGGAGCGTCATGCCTCCTCTTCCTCCTCTTCTTCATGCATCCCTACTTCCATCTCTCTGTCTGCGGGCCCTTTCTCATTCTCTCCTGTCCATATGATCTCTGCAGTCAAACAGAAGAGCGCCTTCGCGCCTGTCGTCCGGCCACAGACCTCCCCGCCCCCCACCTGCACCAGCACCAATGGGAGCAGTCTACAGGGTGAGCACCCCACCCCTCTCCTGCCTCTGAGCCAATCAAGAAACAAGACCCTATTTTAGAACGAGTCACAAAAATGGGCACTACATTTTTGAGGACAAAGTTGATCCATAACTTTCTACTTACAAGATTGGTTGCTTTTACAGCAAAAAAAAAAAAAACCAACAAAAAAAAACAACGTATATAAAAGAATAGTGAAAATGCTGTTTTTTCACACCGGTGGTGATGTCTGTTGGGGCAAATTAGTATAAAATAGTATCAAAATTACCTCAGATTTACATGGTCAAAAACTTGAAAGAAAAAAAGGATGTATCACAGTTTTAACAAAAATACTAAGCAGCACAGCTGTTTTCAACATCGATAGTAATAAGAAATGTTTCTTGAACAGCAAATCATTATATTAAAATGATTTCTGAAGGAACATGTGACATTTAAAACTGGAGTAATGATGCAGAAAATTCAGCTTTGCCAAAGTTGATCCATACATTTCTACTTATAAGATTGGTTGCTTTTACAACAAAGAAAATTACATTTGAATAAAAAAATAATGAATTAAATTGCTTTTGATTTGCATGCAGGTGGTGATGTCTGTTGGGGCAAATTAGCGTAAAATAGTATCAAAATGTCCCGATTTGCATGCAGTCAAAAACGTATTTGTAAAAGATGATCATTTCCCATGTTACTTGCATGTTATGAACCCAAAATCAGTTTCAAGATGCTACAAATCTGACTGCAGATTTATTTCTAAAAGGAAACTCTTAACTTTAAAGCATTAAACTGTAGAAGCGTTTGCTTAACAACAGCTATTTGCTAAAACTTTTCCTCCATCCAGACCAACTGTGGAATAAGCTGCAATATTGACCTTTAATAACCATAAACCAGTCGTTTTATGGTTCAAATAGATCATGTGTTATTTGAACTGTCTCGTTTATTGTCGACTGACCTCTTGTTGTCTGTTGCAGCTATGGCCGGTCTGATCGTCCCTCCCATGTGAAGAGGAACCTGATCTTCCTCTAAGGCTTCATTGAGCCCTCAACAAACTCACTGGCTCACCAAATCTGTCTGACACTCTCTTATCGAACATCACCAGTCCTACGAGGAGCTGCGCGAAAAGAACATCTACACCTGGATCGCTAAAAGAAAAAAAAAAGAAAAGTGTACCTGGTTTGAAAATGTCCCATGTCCTGAAATGTCAATAGATGTGTTTGTTTTGCCCTCTATGACTTCATCCTTGGAGACTCGCCATACCGGGTGGCATTTCGAATAGGAAGCATAAAAGCTGGATATTATCGCAATGTGAACGAGAAGCCGAGGTTTTGATACATCCACGGCCTTAGGGGCTTCTTTGCATGGCTGATGTTGTCTGTAGACTGTCCATTTCATACTGTTTGTCTGTCCAGTTTCCACTGTGAGAAGAGAGATGCCACTCATCCAGATGGGACTGCGACGGCTCAAAACGCCATTCGGAAACCATTCATTCCTAATTATGAAATGCAGTGTCTTTGGTTTTCAACATCAAGCTGATTTAATTTTCTTTCGCTTTTGTTTTAAACCATCAAATGAGAACACAAACAAACACGAAATGATCCCAGACTGAAGAGCGTGATATTTAGCAATCATCAGGATGATGATGGATGTCAGTCAATTTTACTCATACTGTTTCTGTAGTTCCAGTATAGTTCCAGGTGTGTGGATAGGTAGATTTAAGCCAGGAATGCTTTCTGCAGTTTTAATCACATTTAGGTACCAGACTTATTGTTGAACTTCTTATTGTGCTTTTTTGTATGTATTTATAAAGTTTGTTTCGGGATTTCTTTGGTGAGTTAGGCCTGAATAATAGTATAAAATATCTATGTCAACACATTTGATGTCTTAATACCTTTTAGATATTGTAAAAAGAGTGAAAAATAAAGGGGATTACACTTTTTTTGTAAAAACAAAAATGGCAATGACAAAAAAAAAGGTCTGGATATGACCAGGACACCTGTTTTTTGAAAGCAGGGTGCAAAGCTCCACCACTTTTGTAAAAAAACAAAAAAACAAAAAAACTTTTTTTCAATCGTATATTTAATGTTTTCTTTTTGCAAAAAAGCATTTGTGTTCTTGTTCCCTCCTCTTGTCTCGTGTGTTCTCGTGAAACGTGTATGATCATAGTTATTTCCTAATGCACTTTTTTTGTTGGGGCACTTACAAAAGCTATGTATGTTAGCAAGCAGATGAAAATAATAATAATAATAATAAAAAAGAACAAAAAAAATTGAAAACCTATACAAATATGCACCAGTATGTTTTCAGACGATTTTTTGAATCGATTACTCTTTGCTTTGGTCATGATAACTGAAATGGCTAATCGTTCATCATGTGATTTTGTTAATGTTTCTAAAATGTTTCCATAATACTTCTCTGTCCTTGTTGAGCGTTGTTTCGACTGGTAAAAAGTCCAAACCTGTTGAAACGAAGCACATTTTGACGTGAAACCATTCATTGACGTCAGTGTTGCTGGTGATATTGTTAGCTGTTGCACACACATGCACAAGTTATGCAATTTGTATTTAAATGCAACTCGCAATTCACATTTCGGTGGATTAGCTGTGAAATTAATGAACAGAAGGAGATATAATGATGCCTTAAAATAGGATGTGTGAATCTCAAATCACAAATCAAAAAAACAGTCTGTGATACGATGCATTTAAATACTTATCAAATGGCAATGTTTTAGGTCTTAGTAGGGAAAAGGTGGAAAATTATTGTGGAAATATGACTTCGGTAATCATTGTATTGCAGGTTGTCATCTTCACGAAGGAGGTTTCTTAGTCATGTTTGGTTTTGTTTTTGTTTGTGATTAAATATCACAGACTGACCACTTGGAAACAATGTAATTTTAATATTCCAGTCATGATTTTTCTCTATTTTCCTGAAGTGAGTGAAGGTGTGTTTGCTAAGATGAAATGTGAAAGAAATTGGTTTCTAAAGACCTCTTTTAATTTCACAGGTGACCTAATTACTTCACATTCGTCCTTTTGGGGTTTAGACATGGGGTAAAGAAAATACAATATGACAGTGCCCTATTATATTAAAACAGCTGAATTCAATCTCAAAGTTCACTTGAAAACATCTCAGAGATCCAGCTTGGCTGGAAACACACACACACACACACACACACACACACACACACACACACGTACGTACGTACGTCCATCCATTTCACCCATGCATTCAGTTTCCTAATAGCTTGTGAAAGGTTTTTTTTGTCATAGATGTAGAGAGCTGGCTTCTGCTTTCTTTTTCAAAACCTGTTTTCTTTGGAAATGTTAAACTCGAGGTGAAATGGAGAAAGGTACTGCATCTTTGTGAAATATGAAATATTATATCAAAATATATCAAAGCACAATGTTGAATTAATGTCTTTAGAATTCAGATAGGGAGATGTATTCTACTTTTCTTTTTTCTCTCTGACCATGCTGTAAATAAATGCATGTTTTTCCTTCGTTTTTATTTCAGTTTTTTTCCTGTGATCCCGTGCTTTTTGTACAGAAACAGAAAATAAAGATTACATTTGGCTTGAAAATATTTTGTCAAGCATCTTTATTGTGTAAAAGCGCAGTCTCTTGTTCACTTTCACAATGTTTTAAAACATCAACAGTCCATCGAGTTATAAAAGTCACTTTTTATGCTGTGCTTCTCAGCATGGGGTGAACCATCTCAGGCCAGAAATCCCCAGCTCCGCTCCAAACTTCACAGCGAGGCTCATCCTTCCAAGGTTTCGACCTTTTGGTCTGCTCCGCCTGCCAGCACTGCTCAGTTGATGGAATATATTTTTGAAACCTTATCCAAAGACCACATTCAATTTTTTTTAGTTTTGGCCCTCAAACCCAATGGGTTGAACTTGCGTAAAGACACAGTGACCCATCCAGATCAGAATCAATCATTCCTGAAATCACTCCAGCGCGGTAATTTTCCTGAGCTTTCTTCTTGGATAAGACACAATGAGGGAGATATTCCGAACGTGATTTGTGCTCATGTCAAAAGAAACATTTAAGGAAGGGGAAATATCTGAGACGTGAAGCTGGTGGCCTTTTGATTACCTCTAGCATTTGACAGTCTCACAAATTGCACAGTCGACACTGGCTAGTCTACAGCACGTCTGTCTACACTTGAAATCACTCTTACTAGCTATCAGCTATACCGCAAAGCAGAATTTCAATGGTAAAGTTTTAAGAGTGAACATAGGTAAAAGGGGGAAAAAAATTTGAAATTGTTTACTAATAATTAGAGCGAGAGTTTTTTAATTGTACGTCCTTAAATAATACTTTTTTCCCAAAAAATATTTACTAATTGAGAAAACATATTTTTTTTCAACCTTGAAAATCCACATTTTGTGCAAAAAAATTACTAATTAAAAAAAATTATATTAATAAAAAAAGTAAAATTAGTATATAATTAGTATATAAATGAAAGACTAGAGAGAGAACAGCAAATAAATAGATGAATAAATTAAATTAAAGCAAAAAATACTCATTTATATTTAGAGTTTTATACATATACATTTTTGGTAAAGCCTATTTTTTTCTGAGAAAATATATTTATTCAATATATTATTATCAACTAAATAATAAAAAACTAATTCTTCACATATGCATGTACAGTACTGAGGGTTTTAATGCATGCATTAAAATGTATGTGTACTTAAACGGATACGTTGATGTGAGCATGCTTACCGCCGTGTGTTTTTGCACATTTATAGTAAAGCGTCAGCGGGTCATTTGAAGTCTTGTATCTTCATCTTGTGGGTCTTCACTGAGCCTTTGATGCCATTGGGCAGCAGAGCTTGTATCTAAGCTTCAGCTCATGAACAGGAAATCTGCCTGCTATCTCCAAAAACGTGTGGGAGTATCAGAGCTCCGTCTATCTCACAGTCCATGAGACCAGACACACGCCGCTTCCAGACTCCACAGCCCTGAATGAGCACGTCTCAGCTGAACTACGACCCTCCGATTGTTGCTCAATGAATATCCACTTGTCTTTGTGAGTGGGAGAGTGTCTTTCTTCACAGATGCAAGGCTGCTATCAGTGTCTATCAGTGTCTGAGTTTTCCCATGGAGAGTTTTGTGTGTTAGACTGCCATGCATACATCAGTCCTACGATAACATATCCACGCTTCCAATACTTTCACTAACAAACCGCTGCAAAATGACACATTTAGTGTAAAGGGAGAACATTTACAGCTGGTTTGTCAAAGCTTAAAGCAACCAGCACAATTATAGAAAGACTCAGTACTTCATGTTCGTGTTGTTGTTTGATGGATATTTCAGAAGAAAAAAGGGGCCTTAGATAAAAATAATATTTGCTAGTAAAGACTGTGGTAAGGGAGTGGGAGACATTGGCCTGACTGTGTTTTAGTTTCTTAAAGTGGATGGCAACCAGAGAGCAAATAGTATGTACAAGCCTTAGAAAATGTCATTTCAAAGGGAAAACCTTCTTCTGGCATCTCATTGTGCTGTTTATTCGATTTGAGAATGAACAGCACGGCTTTCCTCGTGCATGCACTACTGGTCAAAGGTTTGGAGACACTTGGCTAAGGTTCTCATGATCTTAAAGAAACAGATCATTCAAAAATAAGAGTCATTATTCAACAAAAATCATTTAACTCACCATCATGTCTTTCTTCAATGGAATACAAAAGCAGTTCTTTGAAAAACAGTGTATATGAGCAACATCACACTCGTAGCCATACGATATGGCTGTATATCAGCACGGCTGTGATTTGGTCATAGGCTGCAAATAGGTAATCACAGCGGGCTGATATACAGTCATATCGCACAGCTACAAGTGTGATATTGTGTTCATACAACAGTTCAAAGGCACAAGTGTGTAAACAAAAACAGAGACAACAGCAGACCATCTTTAAACCCCCTCTTTTGAGCGGAACTACTTCCTTCCCCCATGGATTCAAATCTCAAGTTGACAGTTTAAAAACTGAGCCCATGCCTCCGTTAATAATTCAAAAAGGTCACTTTAGAAATAGGAACGAAAGAACGTTGAGTTGCTTTATTGAAAACTTATTGTATTACTGTATTAAAAGCTGTGTATTATGTTTAGTAGAATATTATGAGAGAGAAATGGACTGAGCGAGTGTGATTACCTGCATTTCATATCAAATCAGCATCAATTCTTCAGCTCAATCTTATATTCACAATAAAAC